AAAAAAAAAAAAAAAAAAAAAAGAAGAGTCGATTCCACGGTAACTGGCCGAGTACGCAAAAAATCGTCAAAACTCGTGGGCCCCACGTCCCTTCACGCGTGCTTCCTGTCCTGATCCAATGCTGGCTTTCCTTTCCGTATTACACGGAAATGCCCCCAATCCAACGGCTCACATCTCCCGCACTTCACTCACTCGGTCACTCCTGTCCGAAAATAGCACACCCCCCAATAAAAATACTCCCCAAAAATTAAATACGCACCCCCCTCAATTTCACCCACTTCTTCACTCCCATCCCATTCCCACACTTACTCGGCGCAAGTTTAGGAGATTTTGGCGACCTCACCTAAGTTCCTTCCTTAAAATCCTTTTGTCTGAAGGTTGGATGTCTGAATATTTTCGCATCCAAGAAAAAGTTTTCGCTTTCATTTAAAATTTTCATCTCGGTTATCTACTTTGATCTGATTCCAGGTCTTGGATTGGATTTTTGTCCTTATTTTTAGTTATTTTCTTCTAAAGGCAATACGGATTTTTCTTTCTTAAATTTAAGTGCTTTTATGGGTTTCAATTCTCTTGATCTTATTATCTAAAAAAACAGATCTCTTGATCTTGATCTTTTATAAAAAGGTTTAATTTAGCTGTTATTTTCATAAGCTTAATGGTTTTTTTTTTTTTTTCCTGAAGACTAGGAACTGGGATTCATTTCTTTGGACACCCGGGATTGAGATCAGAAAAGGACAAAATGCCGTGGGCTTCCTCCTTTGTGAATTGTGTGCGCTTGGTCGTGTTCTTTCGTGTCATACTGTAAATTTCAGGTGTTCTTCTGTGTGTTGATTCAAGTTTTTATATTAAATTGTTCAAATTTGCTTCCTTGATGATTATTAGCCTGTTGATGCCATTTGCTTGAATCATATCTTGTGGATTGGAAGTATTTAGTTATTTTTTCAGTTACCCAGAAAGGAGTAAAAGTTGGGTTTGGAATAAAGTTTGTTCATTTGTGCTTTTGTTGCATGAAAGTTTTAATTTTGATCTCCTAAAATGTTGTTGATTGTTTGCTTGTTCTTCTTGCCTTTTTTTTTTTAAAGGTACATTTGTTCTTCTCGCATTTTTGTATTTGTGGATGGTGTTATTAAGGGCGTCCTCGTCTCTTGTTGATGTAGGTGAAATCTGATCTGAAAGGAGTTCTTCTAGCTATTTGGTGAGGGTGCAATTTATCACTGGTTTGGGGATTGAGAATGTATGTTGCAGTAACCATAAAGAGATATAGAGCAGTAAAGGAAGTTGGCAAGATTAAAATGAGCGTCGGTGTTGTTGCATATTACCAACGAGTGCAAGTTTGTCAGGTATTCCTTTGTTTTTCTATTTTTGCTGCAGGGTGTTATTGAACATGTTTCAATTTCATTTTTTTGATAATTATTGATATGTGATATCTATTGTAAACATTTCAATATTCAGATCAAAGGTCATTGTATTTTTGGTAAAATTGCTAAATTTTTTGGAAATTATAAAAATTGAATTAAGCTGAATATTGCATATGGAGAAAAGCACCTACATTGTGTCTGTTAGGTAGGAAAACACCTAGATTATTCATTTGTTTTCTTTGCAACTGTCATTAGTCATGCACAGAACCAATCTTGGCCTGAGGTGTTAATGCCTTTCTGTTTGGTGTCGCAGGCTGAATATTTCCGTCAGTTGCTTAAACCTGTTACGTAGTCTAATAGTAAAAAGCCCTTGGTCAGTGGAATCTGGTATTATCTGCCTGGTGATTGTGTTTGTACGTAAGAATGCAGTGACAGAACGGAACTTTGGACTGTGTTTGTTATATAGTTGTCATCACAAGCTATCAGAAGCTCCATCCAATTTGAAATTGAATAAACCAGTTCCAAAGCTGAAAAGTGATCTCAGTGAACTTGTTGTTAAGTAGGATATTCAATGCAAAGGGATCAACAGTTTTATCCCGAAAAGGGAATCCCCACATTTGCAGATCAAGGGGGCAATGATTATATGCATATTCCTCCCCCATCTGCTTCTGGTGCAGTTTTTCCTCCATGTGCAAAGCCTTTGCCACCACTCCATGGTGTTGAGTTTCAGCCATCTGAGGTTTGTCCAACGAATTTCATTATCTTTGATCAGACTGATCACAGAAGTCAAATCATGTTTAATCCTTCTATTGCACACAAATTCAGTGCTCATGGATTAAATTTCTGTGCTAATTATGTTGAACACACTCGTGACATAAAAGATGTTTATCATGGAGAAAAAGAAATGTCATCTTTTCTAAAAGAGGATTCTGATGATATTGATGCATTACTCAACTCAGAGGAGGAAGTAGAAGAAGAAGAGTATAATGAGGAAGAGGTGAGCACAGCACGGACTTGTGGACGTTATGAAAACAAGTCTCCTGATTCCTGCTCTACTCATGGTTCCAAACCTAGGAGGACCAGATCATCTTCTACTCTGAGTTCATATGATGGTGATGGCCAGTGTGACAGTGAAATAAAGCGACTGAAAATGAAGAAGATGGTAAAGGTTTTGAAGGGAATTGTTCCTGGTGGGAATCAGATGGATACTGTTGCTGTTCTTGACGAAGCTGTTAGTTATCTCAAGTCTCTCAAGGTTGAAGCACAGAAGCTTGGAGTTGGAAATTTGAATTACTGAGTCAAACTAAGTTGAATGCATATCATGGTAACAAGTACCCTCTCCTTATCTTAGAATTTGAGTTTATTCTCTTCTCTACTAGTTTGGTCTCTCTCACCATTGACGTATTTACCTTTGAGAGATAACAGGGACGGTATTCCATGGTTATATTGGGAGTCCCAGTTATATTGTGATAGTTCTGTGCAGTGCATCGATGGTTGTCAAAATTTTGAAGCTCCCACGTTACCCTTGGATGGAGAGAGATGTAATGGACAAATTTAGCTTTGTATGATGGTTACTAAATTCTGGTTTCCACTTTATCTGTGTGGCCTGTTTAAAGTGTTTGAACCGAACGATATAATATGTACTTCAACTTTATTTTGAAAGTCTTTGGCATGACTGTTCTATTTAAATGCTTTGTCCTCGTCGATCCTGCGCATCACTTGACAACGATCATTCTTCTCTAAAGCTCCTCTATTGCCCTTTAGCTTATCCTTTTTCTTCTTCTATGGCATTGGGTAGTTTTTCGTTGGTGTTGAATCATTTTATGCTTCTTAAGTGCTTACTTTTTACATGTTTATGCTTTCTTTCAAATTTCAATGGTATACTTCCATTAATTTGTTGGAATAATTTCCGACATGTCAGCCGCACCATATGTGGTTCTGGCTCCAAGTTGTATCTTTATAAATGCCTCGATGTAAAGGTACGAGTCACTATGTCAGCAGGATTTTGCTCAAATCTCTGTCTTGATTCTCCTTTATGCTGGTTTCAACTTATGTGTGCTGGAGTATTTGTGACATTACGTATCATTGCTTTGTGCATGTATGGTGGTTTTTTCCTGACATTGTTTGCTATTGACCCAACTAGTAGTGGTCTTAGTGGCGCACCATGAAAGACCTTTCGCTGCTATGGTGTCCAACCGCATCCAAGCTTTGTGCTTATGAGCTGGTCCCATTTAGGGATCAATTTGGTTAAGTCGGTATCCTTCACTGTCAATCTAAAGGCTGTTGCAGGATGGGTTTAGCTTTTATTTTGGCACCTCTTTTTGTGAGGGTGCATAGCCCCCACCACAGCGTGAAATAACCCCGTTCTTCAAAACTATTTGGATCATCATGCAAATTTCTTAAAAAAACCTCAATAACGTGAATATTTAATTTAAAATTAATTAATAATAGAATCGGGTTTTTAGGTTCAATGGTTCGACTCCAAGCTTTAAGTGCATGGGTAAGGTGGTCGGAATTTCGAATTTTATCACCATCTTGATAACTTGAACTCCACCAAAGCAACTCGATGACCGTGTGCCTCATTTGAGCGGTGGAATATTCACCCGGTCTGAAAATCTCACTTGCTAACAATTAATTCAAACTAATTTCTTAATCATTATTTTAAAAAAAAAATTAATAATAGATAGAATAATTCATATTGTTATGTATTTAAATAACATTTTTTTATTGCCTTATGTGAGATTTTTCACTTAATATTAATGAAATTTTTGTAATAGTGAATTAAAACCTTTAAATATTACAGCTTTAAGTTTATGTTTTATCTTATGCATGAATAAAAAATTTAGTACTCACGTAGTTAATCAAATAAAAAAGCAATCCATGTATATCATGCACGCAAATGCAAGTGCATGCATGAGTAATATGTTCAAATTAATGGACATAAACAAATTAAGAGAATATTTGGATTAACTCGTAAGAGCTTTTACTTTTTTATATTATTTATGAGTGATAAGTTTAAATTTTTATTGGAGGAAAAATTTAAAAGTTGCTTTTAGATATAAAAAAAAATTGAGTAAAAAATGAGTAAAAATAAAATTTATAAAAAGTAAAAATTTGAAACTTTTAAACTTTTCACTGTTTATGATCTTTTTAAAGTTAAAAAGAAGTTTAAAAATATAAGGTTTTTTAAAAGAATTTAATTTATAAAATATAAATAGTATCAAAAAATTAAAATACTTGGAAGCTTAACCAATTGAAAATAGGAATAACGATCCAGTTATAACAATTGTAAGGTTGAGGACCTTGTCGAACCTTGCTTAAAGGTCTGAGGAGCACCGATGAAGTTTCACAAAATTCAAACATTTCCCAAATTCCAAATTTCCAAACCCTTGCAAAGTTCCCCTGAATAACAACTGAGGAAGAAGAAAAGCTTCGAGCTTTCGGTATCAAAAGCAAAGCCGCCATTACAGACTTTGTTCAAGAAAAGGAGAAGAAGGAGAATGGGGCTCGGAAATCCTTCACGATGGACTAGTTTTGGCAAATTATTACTTAGAGACTCATTCTCAATTTTCAAATTCCTCTGCTTTCTTCACGTTACCGATAACTATCTCGTCTACCAAGTTTTTGTGAGTATCAATCAGTACCCACAATGGGTAAACTCTTGGGTCTTCATTTTTGAAGTGTTTTGTGAGTACGTTTGTGATTCAATTGTGGGATTTTATTCGGAATGCCTGCAGGCTTACGGTCCCAGTATGATTCCAACAATCAATCCGTCCGGCGAGTTGCTCTTATCCGAGCGCATCTCTCCCAAGATGGGCAAAGTACACCCCGGAGACATTGTGATCATACGGTCGCCTCTGGTTCCTAAGAGACTGTTGACAAAGCGGCTGATTGCAATGGAGGGTGAACGGATCACCTACGTTATCAACCCCAAGAACAGTGATACATGCAACACTGTTGTGGTATTTGATCAGCTTTCCTTTCTTTCTTTGAATTTCTTTTTTTCTTTTTTCTTTTTGCTGGAACCTTTATGTCCACAGTCTCTTAATAACCAAAAGTTGCTGCATTTTTTTTTTTTTAATTTCCTGCTCAAACATAATTACTTTCCTTCCACATCTTATTACTTGATGGGTATTGGAGAGTGTGTAATGTTCTTCTAATTCATTCATTTTTGGTTATGAACATTTTGTTCTGTTTCTACATGGTGGATTATGGAGACTATGTTAATTGGCTAATGCCTGTTGTTTTGGCTAATTGGACTTATGGTTGAAGATGATTTTTTTTTCTTTTTTTTTGTTATTTTATAGTTTGTAATTCTTTATTTTTTTTCAATCTCTTGCTTTAGGTTCCAAAGGGTCATGTTTGGGTTGAGGGAGATAACATCTACGAGTCAATGGATTCAAGATATTTTGGTTCTATTCCTTATGGCCTTATTACAGGCAGAGTGTTTTGGAGGGTGAGCCTTATCTTTCTTCTTTAGTTCATTTTATGTGGAAGTTATTGTGGTTTCGTTTTTTCATATAGCAGAGTGATTGCATTTGGCTATGGAATATACTGGCTTATTTGTTCACGGAATCCATATTCTTAATTAGTGGATTAATAATAACTATTATCAAACAGGAGTTTGTGCATGCATGGTCAAGTTATTTGATAGATAATCTTTGGTTCTTCCTTTATTTGCTAATGAAGGTCTAACTTTGTATTATTTGGAGAATCAAATATTAATTTTGTAAATTACTTTTTAAGTTAAATTAATGGTCAGTTAATTGTTGCATGTAAAATGTGATAGGAGATATGTTAAGGTGAGGAGATAATTTTTTAAGCTACCTTTTTTTTCCCTTTTTTTTGGGGATACCATAAATTACAGTTCCAGTTGTAATATCACTACTTTCTACCTCACATATTGTGTGCTTGGAGCATATGTTGAGTTTAGATTAGATGGATTTTATGGCTTCAAGCGCTTTTCCACTACCAATTTTCTAATCTACCTAATAGTTCATGCATTATTCTTATTTTTATTGTTTATATGCTAATAATTCTGCTTATTTGTTTCCAGGTATTTCCATTTAAAGATTTTGGATCAATGGGGCCTAGAGAAAAATAAGTGACAGAATAATTATAGAAAAGGTACAATTTTTCAGTATACATCCTATTATAACTTTCCATACATGAACTTTATCTTTACTCTGTTTAATGGTTGTTTTTCCACAATTTTTCCTAATGTTTTGGTGTTTACTGTTTTTGATCCAGCAATAATGTTCAACATGATGGTTCAGACTTCACATCATACCTGTGGCGTTGCATTGTAATACACAATTGAACACTTTCAATAGCATATCTTGAGGCGGCCTTTTACACCAAAGAATAAATTTGACTCCAGGTTGGATAGTGTTTGAACCCTCCTAGTCGAAGTCTTGAGTTGTGGTTACAACTTTTTGAAGCCCCTCTAATCAGGAATTGGACATTTTTCTTCATAATGGATTTGCTTGCTGAGTTGATGTCTCTACACCCTATAACATGGTCATTTCCGCCACTTCAGTTTTACAACAATGTTCTTTTGTTCTGATCAGTTTTCTACATCCATTGATGTTTTTAAAACATAGATAAAAAGTTTGATGTATTCAGGTTAAATTCATTTAGCCTTGTATACTTTAAAGACTGCGAAAGCCACCTGAATAAGGATGTGCAGTTGCAAATCTAAGCTACATGCTCATTTTTCCTGAATTGACAATGTGATTTAGTGGGAAGAAGCGATTCTGGCCTTGATTCTGTGTACACTTTTTGTGGCAAAATTCCAGCCATGTCATCTCTGCTCCGATCATGTTCATCTGCTTTTTCATATTTTGGTTAGTGTTCTATTTCTATAATTTAACATTCATTCTGGATTGAAAGATTCACAGGGATAACATTGCAGATTGCATTTTACCAAGTCACAACAGATGAATTCCATAATGTTACGTCATATTGACTAGGTTTGATATCTCGTGACTAAAATTTTCAGAATTCATGACCAACATCCTTTTATGGATGCATGGTGAAGAGCAAAAGATTAACAAAAAGAATAATTCATTTACCATTTTGTTCCTACTTACACTTCAATTAGCGCCAGCCAAAATAAAAATTGGTGAAACATGGTGATGGAAAGCATACGGTTGAAACTGATGACTGCCCCTCTCTGTCCACTTCTCTAACCGGGAAATGTTAGCTTGTAAATGCTGGCCATCCCCAGTCCAAGTTCCGAAACCATCTTTGATCAGATTGTTCCAAACTCTAGCTCGTTTTGTGTATTTGGAATGACATAAATATGTATTAGGGAGAAATTATATGGGACTACCTCTTGATACCTGCATTTATAAAAGGCAGAAGGAGTCACTTAAGGCCCATGGAAATGAAACCTTCTTAATGACCATACACTGAGCAACCAAGAAACAGGCTACAATTTGCTGTAATTTGAACCTTGTATTGGTATAGGATTGTTCAATGAAATGAATTTTACTAAAATAATCAAATGAAAGGAGCTTTGCCATTAAATATCCGCGCCTCTAGTCATGTCTACCATAGGTTATTAAATGAAAAAGCTTCATTATCATTGAGGTGGAAGTTATAAGAAGAATATGAAAAGGAGATGGCATGTACCGGATTCTGTGAGCTTGTTACAGCAGTCCATCGTTGAGGCTGATGCACTGCTGGTGAATGATCACGGATGAAAGTAACTGTTGTTGATTCTTCTCGAGTATTAGTGACTGGCATGGCTGGTAATTCTCTCATGACCCACAATAAAAATGCTGAGGGTACTGAAGAACCTAGTGGAACAATATGAAAATGGTGAATCACCAATGAGAAGCTTCAGTTGGAGGAAATTTTAAAAACATAAAAAGGAAATGTTGAACATAAAGTACCTATAAAATAATACAAAATCAGTAATAGAGATGTATAAACTCCATCTATATACAGATCACGCCAGTGATAAAGCATCTGCAATCATGAAAATACATAAGAGATCGTTAAAAAAAAAAAAAAAAATTACAATGCCTAGGGAGAAAAATCAGACAATAGAATAAATGGAAAAAAAAATAGATAATGATGTACCGGAATATTACTAAATAGAGCCACAAAAGCACTTGAAGTGAAGCATAAAACAGAGACGGTGGCCAGCCCTGCAACCTGCAAAAACCGTCATATCCACACAATTGAAGCAAGAAATAAGATGACTGATCCCAAGGAAATCATGGAAGACTTTTTGGATAAAGTGATACCAAAATGTGAGCATCAAGTAAAAGGAGGTAAAACTGGAAAGGATATTAGAATTGTACCTTCCAGAAATCTGAAGAAGCTCTTTCAGATCTAACTTTCCTCATTTTCAAGCATAAGAGGAGTCCTAGATGTGAAAAATAATGAGAAAGAGGAGATAGTGCATCTTTATGAGAAAAAGGAAGTGTCGAATTAGAAAGCCTTCCATTCATAATCCATTGACATTTAAAACTATGAATAGAGTCAATCAAAAAAACCAATCGAGATGCTTGCCTCGCATTTAATTTAAGCCTGTTAAATTCCATTGAGACAGATGTAACAACTTATTTAGTTAATGGCACTAGAGCTCTGCAGGTCTTCCATACACACCTTTGGTACTAGTAGATGGTTGGCAGGCTAAAATTTCTAACTTCTTAGAAGTCTTGGTACATGAATAATCCAACTAGTTCTAGTTTATATACAACACCTTAATTATATTTGTTGTAAATTAATAATATTGTCTATAGCATGATATTCAACTTTTGCCATCAGAAATGATATCAAATGTTACTAAATATTCAAATTAAAAAAAAAAAAGGGAATAAGACATCATAAATGGTAGTTGCTCACCATAACATGCTAAAGCTCCCCCTAATATTAGCATTGCTACGGCAAAAATATCTACATACACCTGCACAGGATAGACAGAAAGTGCTACATGACTTCTTAGAAGAAAAGAATCCCTAAAAAAAATGAGAAAAGTTAATAACATATTTTTCATTCTTTTTATGGTGGCCTAAAATTAACCTTCTTTCACATTTTATGAGACATAATAGTGCTTCAAAAAAGTTAGGAACATGTGAGATTGCTATTTGATAGAACCATACAATTCATCCTACCTTTAGTATTCTCTCTGCATTTCAAAACAATCTCAAGAAACATGTGATGATATGATTACTGAAAGCCCACTAAACTCAGCAGTTTCTCACACAGTCACACCTCATAGACCATAAAAATAACTTTGACCAGTCAAACTAATACATTTCTATTTCATGCTTGTGCATATCTAGGTAGGAGTCATGCAAGGGATACCTTAACTATGACTAAGAGAGTTCATGATAATTATGACAATTTGCATTTAAAGAAACTAAAAAACAGGGAGATACTTCAAGAAAACAAGAATGACAGAAAAGGAAATTTTTAGATTTCATACCTGTGCAACTGTGGATGAATCAATGGAATTCTTTCCCATTCCAATCCATATTAGCACAGAAAATGTCATCATAAAAAGAAATAGCACAACAGTAACCTGATGGCAAAGTTCCAAGTTAACAGGTTTGCTAACATTGATTTGTATATAAAACTGACGGCATAAACTACTAAAGAAAGCAAATACCAAAACAATTAAGCATGAAAATCATTACAAGAATGTAAAGAAACTACTATCATTGCCATACCCAAATCACTATTTTTTGACGACTTCCCACATGAATTAAACGGAAAGGAAGACATGTCCTGCGACTATCAGCAGTTGATGAACTTGGCCTATTAAATGATTTTTCCAACAAAGCTTCCAGAAAGCTCTTTTCTTCATCATCTTCCTCTTCATCAGTTGCCTGGTGGCAGAGATCAACCCTATAAAACAAATCCACAAAGAAGCATAGGGTAGATATGAGGAAAAAACACTAATATTTATCTGACAGAAAAATAAAATTAATTGAGAATGATTAATTATAACTCATCCAAACAACATACCAGAATGACAAAAGTAGAAGAAATGCTGCACATAATAGAATTCCAGGCAAGGCTGCAAACATATTTGCACAAATCAGTAGTTAAACTATCAGGTAAAAGAGATAAGAAAAGAAAGAGTAGGGATGTAGAACTTTTTTCAAGCTCTAAATATGAGCATCTATACGTACCCATAGCTACAAAACCACATGAAAAGGACCAGCAAAGCCATGCCTTGCAGGCAGCAATAAGGGTCAAGATAAAATATATGAAGGAACCTGCCAAGTAGAACTAAATTCAGTAATTCAGTTTGAATCATACTTGTGCTATTGAGAAAACACTGGAGTAACCAGGTATAATATGATGCTGTCAGAAAATTCATGTTCCACTATCAGAACTAAGCAAAAGAGCAAAAACATTGACAAATATGTGAAAATGTTTAGGTAAAGACTTCACATTACGAGAACCCGGAACCCACAGATGGCAAGGTGAAGCATGCACGCCATCGCATTCATATAAATACATCATTTATTTCCATGAAATTTAGATTGACATTATTGAATCAATTCAACTCCTGACAGTCTCTCTCACCACAGTCATCAAAACACCCTAGTGTGCTTTAATAAGTAATACAAATAATAAATTCTACATTATTAATTAAGTAAAATCATAACTAGGAGCAGCTCTAATCAACGGTAAATAAATCTACAGCATACCATAAGCAATTAGGTGCTTCTCTTTGAAAACCAACAACTATTTATCGCACCATAAAGGGCCACTAATAAATGATTGAAACTAATTGAGCTCTTTACACATGGTGGAAAGGACTGTAACATGAATGTAAAAATACAAAAGCTCACCTGTATTAGTAATGCCAATCAAAAGATGGAATACCTGCAATTTGCCACTCATTTGTATCAAGACCCAGTCAATGTTTCTTCAATAAAGTATAGGCATTATAAAAGGAAGCAAGACAATCATCAAATAGGTGAAAACCAGAAAGATTGATAAAATGGATTTCTCTACAAGGTGCTATTATCAATTCCTGCAGCCCAAATTTTTTTCAAAGGATATTAAAGATGTGGCTGCCACTTAATTTCAACCAACTTGTTTCTCCAAATTCCAGCAAAAATGAGTACTGAAGACTCCTACTACTGGCTTAGAGAGTTTCACCAGGTTTCTCCCTTAAGGTGTTAGACAATTCATGATGCAACATCAAGGTTCAGTTCCTCACTTGACCAAGCTAGCCTACGAATTGATTATTTGGTGTACATTCAAATAAGAGGTGTCTTTAGTTCAATCCAGAAACTTTAAAATGTAGATATCACTTACTTTTTGGCGAGTCCATCCATGTTGTGAGTTTCTTGAGTGAATCCGTATTAGCTGGGATAGAAAAATAGGAAAAGCAGGAAAATATGAAGCATATGCACTAGAAAAAATAAAGAACATCAAAAAAAGAAATAACATATAGCATCTTATACCAATGGATTTGGATAAATACTATGACACTTGTCTCTTGGTGCAGAATTATATAAAATATATTCTTGGATTATGATAAAATGTCTACAGTCATACACGCAGCTATAAATAGTTTACTGGTTTGATAGTTGAAACAGACAGAAAATAAGAAAGCCTGACACCAGGGTTACAGTGCAGACAAATGAAGTTTCACAACCACAATACAATAATCAAGAAATATAATAAGCCACCAGCCTTAAATGTGACGTAGAACTGCAGACTTGGAGTCTGTTCATCGATAGCAATGAAGCCAAAATTACAAATTATAACAACACCCCAAAAATATTATGAGGAAGCCAACAGGGTGACAAGGAAGCAAGTGAAGATAACATGTTCTTTCAAGTCTGCTCATGAAATAAAGCACTTGCACCAGGCTGAGCTTTAAGTTTAAAATTTCACATTTGACCTGTCATCATACAAAACTCATTGGTAGATTACAGATTGCTCCTTGCTATTCTTTACGAACCAACCATAATGTGGAACTCCATTGACAATAAACTTGTTTAATGCGTAGACAATGTCACAATGTGAATTTCAGATTTAGAAGAAAAACACAAAACTTTTTTTCAATGTGCAAGGCTACAAGCAAAAGCCTTCCTTTATTTTCCATTATTATTATTATTATTATTTTGGTCAGCCTGCTACTGTTCCACACTCATACCTCGTGCTATCTCTAATGGAAATTGCAACATCAAGCTGGACACAAAAGCTTTCAAGGCTTTTCTTTAACTTCAATTATTGTTTTAGTCAGAATCTTAAAATATTTTTACCAAGATGGTTACAAGAGTAAATACAAAGATGTATTCTGGTTTCTGGCCAAAAAATTGAAGATGGATTGCTTCTTATCATTTTGTCACATTGATTTGTCATGAATACTGTAAATTTACCTGTGACTTTTCCTGTATAGGGTACTAATTTTATTGGTATCTTAAGAATATGCATGCTATGTCACCCATGAATACCCCTTTTAACCAAATTCCTTACAAAGCTACTTAACATGGTGAGAATTACAACCTCTAAACATGTATACTGAGTCTTCCAAGTCATCCAACAAAAAACTAAAGCAATCACCTTGAATTGCTTCTCTTACATGACTGTCCCTTGTATTAGTTCAAATGGAAGGTTTATTAACAATTAAACAGAACTAATTCATGATAAAAACCAAAACAAATTGAAGACAACCAAATAATCACTTCTACAATCCAAAACTACCCATGCCAAAATTCAAGTAATTAAGAAAAAAAAAAAAACTCAATTTATATTCTGAACTTTCACCAGGAAACACATTGCAAAACACCAAACTCACCCTACCTTATCCACTACCAATGAATCAAAATCCAATAGAATATCCTAAAACAGTTAAATTCCAGTAACCAATTCCATGAAAATTTAACAAAAACAAATCAAATGAGCAGAAACAAACCTGAGTAAAAGCAAGAACAGCTATAATGCCATCAACACAAGCAAGACCCACATTCACTCCCAACGGCACCCGCGGAAAACAAGATGACCCTTCTCTCAATCCAAACATTTCTCCCTCCCTCCCTCCTCTCCTTCTCTCCATACACTGTACCCTCTGTATATAACAATCCAATCTCAACTTTATATATCTTTCAACAACGAAGATGCAGCGTCAGAGCTCCAAAACCTTCTGGGTATGTAAAGCAGCAAAGTGTACAACCTGAAAACAGAATCCCTTTCCAGGTATCTTTCATGGAAGATCTGTTTTGCTGATTTGGTTATTGTCTCGACGCAGAACGAGAGGAATTTATAAGGAAAAGATCAAAGGATTCTGTGAATGTTTAATTGCTAATTTTACGCGGGGACGTATATGGAACAAAATAAAGTTAGAGGGATAAAGAGAGAAGTCGAAGAGATGTCTGTACAAAAAAAAAGGAGATATCTGTCAAATTCTAAAACGCACGCGTGTAGCTATTCAAGCATTGAGATTCTTCCCCTGAGCACTTTTTTAACCTTCTGCTTTGACCTTAAAATATGGGGGCCCTACATAATAATCATATTTCTTATTTGTAATTATTTTTTTAAGCATTGTAATTATTAATTTTTAAATCTGATTTTTCCCAAGTTTTAAATGAAACAGTGTTTT